TTTCCTTTTGATTAGTGTGTTTTTTTTTCTCTCATTTGTTTTTCTTCTTCTCTTCTTCGTTTGCAACTTTGTACTTTTTTGAACTTTTTGGACTCCATCAAATCAGCAGGCCCAAGTTGATATGAACTTAATGATCCAATCTTTTCTCGTTGGGCTAAAAAAATGTGACAACAATTTGCTTACAACCAGACAAATTAAAATAATTTTTTTTTTTTAAATAATCAAAGAAATCAGTATAGTATAATAAAATTTGGTTTTCTGCTTTACTAACACTTTTATAGTGACTTTTATATATTCACTCATACCAGTTACATTATTGGTAGTTTACATAAACCAGTTCATTTATTGGTATTTTTCTCTCCCTAGGACATATGCAGGTAATGTGGGCACCAACTTTACAGTCAGTAGAACAGCATTGCTCAGAACAAATTTAGAAGATATTTTACAGAAGATATTTTACAGTTACACTCCACCAAATCAAATAGTTTGTCAATAATTAAATTAAACTTTTGTTTTATAAATTTACTTGCTCTATTTTGAGAAATCAGGTTAGCTTTGTTCCATGCAACTTTAAGTCTTGTTACCAAATTATGTTTTAAACTAATTACGGGAGGCACAAATAAAACACTGGCCATTTGCCATTTTTCTGAAAATTTATTATAAATATCCTGGATCAAATCAGAATTACTATAGTTTCTTCTGTTTAGTTTGCTTGTTTCTCTTAAAAAAATGCCATATCTTAGGACATCTCTCAGTGTTGGCAGTTAAGCTGTTGGCAACTCTTTTCCAGATCCCAAATATTGGCGTAGACAAGAATCATTTCTCCTTCTTGTTCCAGCAGCCATTTTAAATTTAATTATACTTTGTATCTAGTAATTTTGAAAATTATATATATATATATATATATATATATATATATATATATATATATATATATATATATATATATATATATATATATATATATATATATATATATATATATATATATATATATATATATATATATATATCATATATATATATATATATATATATATATAATATATATATATATATATATATATATATATATATATATATATATATATATATATATATATAACTTGCATAACAAATATTAAAACAAAAAACTTTAGAATGATGTTTTCTGTGTAGCCATTTAGAACCATCAATTAAAATGTATAACTTAAATTACATACAAAACTGGCACTAATTTACATCTCTACCCCCTATTTTTATGTTTTATTATGAGAACTTTATGCTGATTAAGAATCGTATAAAAACATAGCTCTGAAAACTAAAGCAAAGTACTCTAATTAGATCTTGAAGTTTATTTATTACACAAAAAACGCGAATATTCGCTATCTTTTTTAAATGCAACTAAACACTTTTTTATAAATACTATTTTTAATTATGCAACCCGGTTTTTATTTTCATCGATACTAAAATTTACATAGTTTTAAAAAAAATACAATTATTAATTATAATTAAAAAATAAACTTTTTTTTTTTACATAAATTATTCTTTATATTTAAAAAATTAATTAAACTTTTAAACGTAATGTTGCAGAATAGTGGCGTAAAATTCTGTTTGTTAACTTTTGACCTCTTGCCCTTAGTTACTGATTTAGGGATAGGCGAGGGCTTCAGTACATACATCGACTGATTTAGGGAGAACTCGCAAGAGAGTTGATAACACATTGAAGGGTCAGGGTTGGGGCAGGTATCAATTTATATCATTATTCTTCCTTGAAGCCCTTGCCTATCTCTAAATCAGTAGCTACTAAAAAACAGTTTCGTTTTTTGTTGACAATAAAAACCAGGTTGTTTATGTTATTTTCAAAGTTTACTTTTGAATGAATTTTAATCATAACAGAGTACAAAAAAGATGGTGAATAATAGCGTTTTTAGTGTAATTTTTAAACTTCAAGATCAAATTAGAGTACTTTGCTTCAATTTTCAGAGCTATGTTTTTATACGATTCTTAATCAGCATAAAATTTTCATAATCATAATCAAAAATAAAAATAGGGGGAAGAGATGTAAATTAACGCCACAAAATTTGAAAAAATAATAATTTTTAAGTATTCATAAAAATTTCTGAAACAGTATAACTATTAAATGAATTTTACTTATCCTGCTTTCTTATCTTCCTTTCCTTATTCCTAATTTCTTAAGATAAGGTTGTTGTAAAACAGATATAAGTCTAAAATATTGAAAATGACCCTGAAAGTATAAAAATATCAAA